CTCTCTCTCTCTCTCTCTCTCTCTCTCTCTCTCTCTCTCTCTCTCTCTCTCTCTTTCCCTGCCTCTCGACCTTGTTCGAGATCAATCTACCTGCCGTGCGCGAATCAACACGCTCCCGGGAACGTTTCTAGCGGACAGGAAGACGCGAAATTAACATACATATGCAAGAGACTGCTTACCGCCATTGAGATCTTCCCTTCGTATCAGCGATCTCGACGATCCCCGAGTCTCTGCTTGCTGCTCGGTTCGGCTCGCCCGGGCTCGTCAAATTTACATCCCCTGGAGAGCGGTGGAAGCGGGCGGTGGAGCAGGAAGAAAAACAAGTCCTCTCCGGGCGACCTTGAATCCGAGATTAATCACGATGGTCGCGCGAGAACGATCCTACGTAGACGAGTTTTCCGCGCGAAATGGTCGCGTTCTATGACGCGAATGGAACTGAAGTGAGCGGCGAGTTGTCGCGGAGCGAGCTACCTCTTACGGCTTCGCGCTATTGGCCGCTTTCTTCGCGACGACGATGACAACGACACAGGTGGTTGCTCGGGGATACTTGGTTTCTCACGAGAAAGAGAGAAAAAGAGAGTAACCGACGCGAGAAAACAAAGGGTTGGAAAGAGGAAAAACAACTGTGCGCGTCGCAACAAAGCCGCGCGAAAAATTACGCAACAAAAGTGCGTCTCGTACGCGCACGTAACAATTTCCTCAATGACGTATGAGAGCTCGATCGACTGACCGGGGCGAAAGCCGTCGCGCGACTAAAACACCTCTCTGCTCTCGCAGCATCCCTATCCCGCCCGCCCAGTACATCCGCACCCTCCGTCGTTCCCCCACGCGAGACTCTTTCAACCCCTCCCTCCTCCTCGCCTCCGCACTTCCGCTGCCTCCCCCCTCCCTCTTGTACTTCCCTCTTCTGCCTCTATCGCTCCGCGTCACCTTTCTGTCACCTTCTCTCTCGCTCTGTCTCTCGTGCGCGCTGTGTCCTGTATTGTAGCGAACTAGTTACTCACGACTACGAATTTTAAGATATTCCGATTGTACTTGGTGATTACCATAAGCAGTGTGTTCTTGATATTATCTACGTGTCTACCCGGAAGCGGATATTGAACAGGAGACGCGCTTAAAATTCCGCACAAAGCTTCTCGAAATAATCCCTTGTGTCCGATATTTTAGTACGCTGTATCTCCTTATAATATAACGCGTTAATTATTTATATCAATTTTATCGACCGCGGAAATCTTTTCTCAATTATCTCGAGCTATTACGATATAACGTGACGCAACGTCGCCTTTTCCAGACGTCGACACAGTCACTGTGTAACTCGACAATTTCTTAATATCTAAAATTATTAACATCTACAATAATTATCAAGGGAAATATAACTTGCACAAATATTGTGCGTATGTTACTGCTTAATAAATTATCGCACAAACATAATCGAGATTGGATTTGCGGATAATTCGAAACAAGTTAGAAAACTCGCGTCTCGGTGGAAGTATAGCGATTAGGTGCAACACTAACTACTCCCTGGCGTGCACGAAAGTTAGACCCGATTGTACCAACAGTAGGAATTAGTTAAACCCGGCTTAACGATTCGCCATCTCTTTCTAAGCTACAATTCTACTTATAGCGCGGACAAAGAAGTAAAATTGGATTAGATTCGCCGGCGTTAGTTGAAGCGGGCCTTGGGCAAAGTGAAACGTGAGGAAGCAAGTCAGTCATACGATTTTTTAATCTCGAGTCTGGACTCGTCTATACTTGTCTGACGATCCCATTCGCTCATATGTGTACCATCAGTCTCTTGATCTAATTATGATCAGATTACTTCGCCGATTCATGCAAATTATTTTCACTCTAAGATGGAGTTCGAAGATGAACTTCGCGAGCAGAATTCTTCACAGATGGAGAATCCGGAGATATCTTTCGTTACATGATGATATGAACCAGACGTTCAGTTTAAAAAAATTTGGCTTAATCAATATTTCAATAAATTTCTGCATAAGTTGTTTGTAGAACGATGTTTTTTCTCGTTCTACTGATCTGTTTTCTTCCTACTCGCGAAGACCCGGAGAGATGCAAGTGCACTTTCTTGCAGGTACTTCGGGATGTCAATCCAACTGCCGATTTCTATTCCACGTTACGGTAAATTCATGCTTCTCACGGATCTATCTGCAAATATCAATTGCGATACCGATACCGCGTAAAAGGCACCGACATCATCCAGCTGGAGGAAAGACTCCTGCGAAAGTAGAGAGATACTTTAAGTGTGTCAAGTATACACTCCTCGGTGCGATAGAACTTTCCTCTCGCGACTTTTTCTTTCCTTTGTTCGCGCGAAGTACCGCAAATTAAATAATTGAAATCGGCAAATGGAGGCACCCGCGTAACTGTATTTGTCCGTCTGCTTGTTTATCTCTTTTTAACGGCTTCCCGACCGGAGCGCTTACCGATGTGCCGATAACAAACTGTTGCACTTCTCGACACTCGAGCCGCTATCACCTGCGAACTTCTCGTACTTACTACGTGACCAACCCCGTTCCGTCGACAAAGTATTTACGTATCCATGCTTGTAAAACAAAAGGACTTTTTCGCCAAGCACCTTCGTGCTGCTATCCCAGCGCCGTTTCACCGCGATCGTATGGAACGGACGCGTGATCGATTCCGCAAACCGGGAATAATGCCGCCTTTTTTTCTTGCGTCGCGACGCATTGTCGTTCGATTATCGCAGATAGCGCATTCGACGTGATTCCGCCGCATTGTTCCGCTACGAGTAGATGCCAATCCGTCGGTCGTTGCGAGCGCGAATGCGAATATCATTATATATCATACTTTCTGAACGAAAAGGGCCTTTTTTAATTTAAATCTCGAATCGATCGCTCGATCACGTTCTCGTGAGACCTGATGAAATTCAGCCAAACCTTAGATTTTTTTAGGGCAACAACAGCCTGAATATTTCCCGTCACACTTTTCCCGGCCGCGCGTGCTTTCGCACTCTACGTTCGCGCGCTTCTCCGACAATGTGTCGACAAACTATTTTGATGGCAGGACGCTGGGCGCGAGATATGAGATAAAGTCGTTCCCACCGGGTGTATGGAATTTTAATTTTCAATACGTTTTTCACGGCACGCTCCCACGCTCGCGAGACTTTATCGCGAACCAAGCTATTCTAACGGAACACATTTATCTCGTCAACGAGTCTTTTTTTCTGCACAAATTTATAAACACGGCGCATCCTACTTTATCCCAGATTGCTTAGCTATAAATTGCGCGAGAGATAATATTGAATATTCATGAATGGTCGATTTCACTTTCGGTGAAGTAGCGCTAGACATTAGTACTCGCGGTTGTCACGTATTCAGGTCGTCAAGTTTCAAAATAACCGCGATTATACTAGAACACTCCTCTGAACTTTTTGTGCAATTTGCCGCAGCTATCTACTCAAGAAAGAGACGGCAAGGATACCGGGAAGAGGTCACACAATCGAGCGATTGAGAGACGCCACCAACAGTGGTGGTACGCCGCCTGTGACATAATTTTCTTCGCAACCGCCGTCGCCGCCGTCGACAACGACGACGACGACGACAGAGCCAAAAGACATTCATCTTGCCGCTTGTGTGATGTCGTTACGTCATATTGCGGGGAAGAACTTACCACGATCAATAAGCATCCCTGTATATGGCGCCGGAAAATTAAGCCGGCTTCAAAGTTTTGCATTATGGAAAGTTCCTCTTATCGGCCGAACGGACGGGACCCTTTTGTGAAAACCGCTCGTTGAGGGACGGGCGAGACGTTATTACGCTCTCTCGCCTTCTCTCTTCTGGTTTGCCTAGATAAATATTCCGGTGTACATTATTGGAGGGTCGACGGGGCCGAGAGAGCTTCTCGGAGAGAGATTGAAGGTGAAAATTTACATCCTCACCATCTAGGATGCACTCGAGATCCTCCGAGGCAGTTTTTCAAGCTAAGAAATTTAGCGCGAGCGAAAGCGTAATTCCCCTTAAAGGTCGTCTATCTTCAACGTAAAATGAAAATACACAATATTAATGCAAAACTACTGCTTGGCTAAGTCGCGTTAAACGCAAATTTACTTAGATTTGGATTTAAACTTCGATTACCAAATTATTTAACATTGCGAAGTAATCTCTGATAGGTCCAAATTAATTGTGAGAAGGAAAGGCCAATCTCTCGTTTCCTCGAGAACGGTCAGAATATGTCCATAGGTGTTCCAATCATTCAATATTCATTTATTCTCGATTAATACTGGCATGCATACCTATATACACACACATGTGTAAATGCACAGTATCCTACGCCGTTTGTCTTCGAGGAGAGAAACTACACTTGATCGTAAATATATATTTACATAAATAATATATACGTATTCATTTGAGATCACTCACCTTACAAAACAAAATTGTACACTCTATATAATCCAGGAAACAATATTGACACAATATTACGCGCTTCTCTGCACCCACTTAATTGCATATTGTACTATAAACGCGTTTGAAATTCCCAAAGGAAAAGTCATCTCATCTGACGCACTATGAGAATAACTAATGCGCCCCTCTACATGACATACAAATTATTTCTTTTTACCGCAGTCTAATTTGTCTGAAAGACACCAAGTGATAACATGACATCAAATATAGGTGATAACTACATCATATCATACTGATGCACGATACGGTCAATATTTCCAATATGCCAATTGTAAAATTGTTAAAATTTAAATAAAATATTGTGGTTACCATTCAAATTTCCTCATTTCAAATCCAATGTCGAGTTTTCATTAAACGTGACTTTTTAATCAAACATTTCCTTCTAACGGTTACGGAACAATGTTCCCAATGACAGAACTCAGTCTTCCAATTTAGTGAGATATATCTCATTTTCTTATCTAAATCGCGCAACAGTTTACTTCTATTTCCTCACTGCCGCGCACAGCTGTAAAATCACATGTAAATCTACTTTACAGATAGTATTACAATTTATCGCAGCTAAAAAGTACCGTTATGGGCGGACATGGGAGTAAAAGTGCTTACAAATCTTCATAATTTCAGAAAAAATATACATCGACTAATGACACGTTAATGATTCGGTCCACTCGGTTGTCACAGCTTCCGTAATAATGCTTAACTAAGAATGCTTAACTATTCATGTGGTTGGACAGGTACGAATTCTGGTCTCTCGTTAGGCGTTCTATTGGAAAGGAAGAAACACATTGGACACTTTCCAAGCAGGCGATTAAGAATCGAACTCGTACATTTGGTAAGATGCCCAACCAAGTTTCTGAATACACCTGTAACATAGTGACATGTGGCTGATAACTAAAGATAATTCAAATCGATAATAAATGCTGGAAAGGAAAGCTATTAATAGAACAAGCTATTAATAGAACATTATTTACTTTTTAGCAGATAGCATAAATCCTTTTGGTCCACAAGTAAATATGCATCCCTCTAACGAATACTCGCCAATCAATTCTTTTAACAATTCATCGGACACGACGCCGCGTCTACCTTTCCATTTATCACCCGCTTGTGAAAGGATATGTGTAACTTTAAACCTAGTAAATATTTGAAATATTAGTCTATACTTAATTATGTTTTAATTACACTTTCTTTACTATTCTTTTAAAGCATACGTATATGATATATCAATTTCCACTTTGTACGCACACTTACTTTTCTATAGACACTTTATCGAGTTGCGACACGTAAAACATATTGTCCTCATCTTTATTGAAGTTCAAAAGATTGATTAGTTTCCTGGAAAACCCAATCAATTAGGTGAAAACACGACCATCTTCCAAGCACAAAAAATTAAGATACAGAAATGCTCGCACTTACACGCTGCGCCTCGCCAGTGCTCGCTGAATTATTCCTAACATCGCGGTTAAACCTGTTCCACCTGCCAACATATGGATGACAGAATATCGATCGAATGATTCGATTACAAAGGCACCTAAACCATTGCTCATTGTAAGGATTTGACCAGGTTGTAACGTAGTGATGGACGGACTGAGAGCGCCATTCGGATATCGCTTTACCATCAAGCAAATACAATCCGGCTGATAATTCGGCGCCATATCTTCGGGATGAAGGCACGGTGGGACAGGCGTATACGATCTTGACACTTCCATTCCTACGACAAATAAGTCAGTTGTGTTTGTAAGACATTTCCACCGTCGATACACTTTTAGTGGATTAAGTTTTCATATGCAACAATTTTATAGATCGTTTAAAATATTAGTTTCTTTTTTAACGTCAAGAAAGGCGATTAAACAAAAGAAAATGTCTATATTAATATTTACCCATAATATTCATTTTAACTTCTACATGTCTACCAATTGGAATTAGTTCTAGAGAATCTTTTGCACGCAAGACTAATAGATTAACTAGTCTGCAAATAGATATATTACTGAGTACTTCGTATTCTTTATACGTGCGTTTGTTTGATCCTCTCGATAATATATTCTGCAATAACTTTCCTTGAGACTTCCAAATATCTTTGATCCTCTTTGTAAATGTAAATTCTACCTACAACATTCAAATTGACATTAAAAATGAATATTTCTTGAATTGATGGAACACGCGCTAGAAAAAAAATGTGTTTTTGCGTCCGTTTGTCAATTACCTGCATCGTATCAAAATTCCTCTTACACGTCGGAGGCCATTCCACATCTGCGATCAATTCGAGTTCATGAGTAATTACGTGCTTTTCAAAAATGAGCCTAAAGATGAGTTTTGAGTCACTCAACCGTTGCAGTTGATAATATATTCCCGGATAGTTGTATACGGCTTGATAAAAAAGAGTAATGGAATTGGAAGTTTGCCGCCAATCTATATTTACATTCGGTAGGTTTTCTTCGACCGCTCTTGGTACTGAAACAACCAAAGTTTCATCTTAATGTCGTCACATTAATGTTATATACGTATACTTGGGAAAGTGACGAAGTTTCGACGTGTACCGATAAAAGTCAATCGGTTTCAAACACTTGTGCACACAGGCTCTTACACAGACTACCGTAATAACCCAATACTATCCATGATTCATTAATTCAATGATGCCTGTCTAAATATAGATGACCTAGAACACAATACGGCGCAGCAGTTACAACAACTCTACTCACCGGCGAAACTTTTGCTAAAATCCAACGTCACGGAGGAACAGTTGTTCGCGCTCGTAGCCGACTTGTCCGTCACGGAAGCAGCACTCGACGCGGACGAGGAGCCACGACTTAACTTGCCTATGACGCATTTCTGCAGAATGCTCTGATAATTCACCCAAGCGTGCACCTGCAATTAACGATCTACATAGGTACATAAAAATAATCACCGCTTAGCGGGACGGCGCAATGACATGAGTGCGTTACTCAGAGCGCGAGATTTTACGTTTTCAAATAATTTTGTGGCGTCTTTCCCGACACCTCTCATCAATTCGTCGACTCCACCAGGATGAAAATCCATATAACGTGTGACATTAAATACGATTCCTGCAATCGGAACCAAATGTGAAATAATAATTAGACGAATAATTCCAACTTGTTAATGACGACGATACTACCGTCGTAGCTGGACGAATAAAGCGCAGAAGCAAACAAACCTCGGATTGCAATCCAAGCGTCAGTTTGCTTGTTGTGATTAGCGAGCTCGGATAATGTTACGACTCGTGGTACGCCACCGACTCCAGTTAAATCGACTCCTGAATTACCAAGACGGATCCAGTCCATCAAACTATGCCCCGGTGCTAAGGCTGTTTTATTTCGTGGGTTTCCTACAAAAAACAGGAGTGAATACGTGTCACTCTGCTATTCTATTAAAGAACAAGTATTTTTACCGCGTCAAAAATTAAAATGACATTCCCCAAATTCATGCAATTATTATTGCAAATGATTTATTCAAATTTTTCCCTTAGTCGCTATAATTAATTGCACAACGCTTTCGTATTTTAATTACATCATTATCTCTTGGTTGCCTTTCCATTTTTAACGAGCATTTTATGAATAGCTCAACGTTACTTTTCCTCCTATTCCTGTTGTAATTCACTGTTCAAACTATTTACGCATCACTGTACAAATTGAGAGCATAAGGACGACATTTATGCGCAACGACGGACACGTGCGCGTGCACGTAAACGCGATCATAAAAATGGATTAATTGGCAATTACAGTAATTACTAACCGTCCTGGATCTGCAAACCAAGACTCTGCGGAGACCCGTTGCCGTCCGCGGCGGAAATTAAAGGAGCGCCGCAGCATCGCGGCATTTTCTCATCGAAACGACGGAATTTGCAGAGACACGATCATTCTCGCAGCTGCTCCGTAAAAGACGAAATCGATAAGAATTCTCGAAATACACTACATTCGGGTGAGAAGTCCCTCGATACCACTCAGTAGAATTTTTCCGGATAAATTCACTACAGAACAAAATGGAACAAACAAAAAACGAAAAAGCCTGTGCTTCAAAACTTATAATTTGGAGCGTAATGTCAATTTTTCTAACTATCAAACGTGGAAGGTATAATAATAGCACACGTAATATCGATAATACATATCGTACGTGTGTACGCATTCGATATAATTCGATACTCTCTTAAAGTAGATCAATGAATAATCACTGATATCAGTTATAAGTATAGCACTGAGAAGTTTCAGCGCTATACTTATAAAATTGCAAATTAATGTATATTCACAGCTTTCAATGATGTTCCACTTTAAGAGAATATCATATATATATTATTACATGTACACACACTGAATAAAATATGTCAATATTACCATTATGTATACCAATTAAAACTAATTAACCGACTAAAATACCTATGACTACAAACGATCAAGCAATTTACGGGGCAAAATTGCGCGACCTATGCAAATATAGCTTTATAATTAGTTCTCCGCGAGATTTATAAGTATCGCTTATTATTGTCATCAAATCTTTATTTAATGTTATGTCTGTCTCTGACGATCAAGTATCCAATATCTGAGTCTTGTTGATTTCTTTAGTAGATTCCGAGCGAGATATATATATAGAACGGAATTTTAATTTCGACTCAGATGTTGTGAAACGCCACACAATTATGACTAAAGGTAGTATCTCGTTAAACTCAACTCGATTAGCCAAAACTAATGGAAAAGCAGTCGCGGAATTAACTCGCTTCACCGTCTTAACAACGCTGCTCGAGTTGAATAGCTTCGACCCAGCGCATACTGTTCGGCTCACAATCGATCTGTCCGATAATAAGAATACGAGGAAAACCGTCAATTATGCACGAGTCGACGCGCGATGATATCAACGTGACCGACAGAAGTGTTCACCTGATACGAGTGGATAGTCGAAAACGCGGTGATTCGTGGCCTATCTTTGTCTGGATAGATAATCGCGATATATTTCCGCTGATGAATAATGAGTCGAGAACACGATACGACAACGCGATTATTCCCGTCGGCCAAACGAAACGAGAGATCGTGCCGTGATCTCGTGGTGAAGGACCGGAGGGTACTGCGCTGAAACACGCGGCCGAATATAACCCTGAGACAGGTAGATCAATATAGTAGCGATGGACGACGCTCAGCTCAACACGCAGGATCTCTCCAGTCGGAGCGCGGTACTCCACGTACAAAGATCGGTGAAAGAGAAGTTGATTACACGAGAGCTATTGATCATATAGGAGGGTGTATCAGGGCGTATTATTTGAAGGAAGCAATAAGACTCGTACACTCGGGTGGCTGAGAATGAAACATATGTCGCGGAAAAGAGAATCGCGCAAAAATCTCCCTCGTATCATATGTATCGATTGTCGGACATACAATTGCCTGTCACAATGTAAACTATCAGATTGGGTGTTTCTCGCGAAATCCTAAAAAGGTATCACGTCGTACCTCACATGCTGCGTCTTATGTTTCATCAAAAATTCTGATATTTTTTAGAATGAATTGTATTGTTATTCTCCTCTCTTCATTTAACTACTCAATTATCGGCAGCTATGAGACTGATCTTGAAAAATAATAGATAGAAAATGATAGAAATCTTACCGGTAGCAGATGCGGAAGACACTGTTTTGATTTTCGTTTTCACCTCTTGCTCGCTTGGTTCGATGACTCCAGTAGGTAACATCAGGCTGCTTTTGGCCAATAGGCTAGTAGGCGAAGATGATTTCATCTCCATCTTCTTCATTTTTTCCTGTATGCCATCATGAATATCCCTCTGACGATTCTCTTCTTTCTCATTCTGATCTCTCGCCCGAGTCTCCGAAGGTTGACTCTTCTTTATCGATTGCATTAGTGTCCTCTTGAACGTGAAAGGTCCGAAATGATAAAAGCGTTACGCTTCGTCAGATACATGTCGTTGGAGACGTCATGAGTTTATCTCACAGGGCTCTCTATAAGGAAAAAAACAATTCTTTTAATTGTAATTATAAACACGAAGATAAGATATTTCAGCAGAAAATATTTCGAGTGCAAAATGTAACAGGAGCGTTAAGCTTCTTGAAATCTTAAATTTCCTCAAACAAAAACATCACGTATCACTCTTCTTAAAATTAAAAGCTCGTCAAGATAAGTGTCGTAACAATTCGCGTATCGTTGTTTTACGCGCGATTACGAGGAAATTATTCCAGCCATCTGCATTATACGGTTCATGAATTTAGAAAGCGAGACGCGCCAGCATACAACTCGCGTGCGACTTCGTTCTCAATTACTTTCTCCATAAAGTTTCTCCGCGCACAGTTTTGTGATTGTTCCTCGGCAATAGCGACGCAAGGTATCTTATAATTCTGCAACTCAACCATGTGCATCGAAGTGCACATCATGAATTTAGTCGGCAAGACAGTAGACAATATTTCGATGGGTCAAACATATTCTTCTAACATAGAGGAAAGAATATTCAATGGTCTCTTCTATCAACACAAACAGATACAAGCATTTTCTTACAAAAATAAATTAAAAATAAAGCATTTCCTGGTATTTATTTTTCATGTTTATTACACGAAAATTGATTAGATGCGGCATACCAAATATCGAAGGATCAAGAGTCAAAATGATGCGTGTAAATTAAAAATATAGCAAAGTAACAAAAATATAGCAAAATACAGCAAAGTAAACTAAGGGCGCTGAAAGATCACGACTCGACCCTGCTTTTGTGTATGAAAGAGCTAACAGGCGGTATCCTTGCCGGCATAAGAGTAATGGCGAAATAACAGCCACAGTTAAACACTTTTTGTCGAGTGATCAGGAGGCAAGTGACTACGGCACGACATTCAGGATTGTCGCGCACAAATCCAGCGGAGGAAATACTCAAGTACGTGGTCTTTTTCGCAGATGCTCGACTTTGGCGCACATTTGAATGTAAGTTAAAATATTATACGAGATATCCTACATGGAGAGAATATATTATAGCATTTTATTATATAAATTATCTTCAATCTTACTATGTTTTTAATAACCCATACATATAGAAATAGACTAGTAAGATCTATCTTGTCGAGAAATACATAGTAAATCTCGCTAAAAATATAACAAGTGTTTGAATAGCATATCAGTTTCTAAAATATAAATAGCATATATAAAAAATAAATATATAATGAGAATTATCGGAGAATGTTGATTTATTCCTCAGTTACAAAATCCTATATAATTTTTACTATAAAATTCTCTCCATATACATTATGTTTGTTTCAGTAAAGCACTATGTTTTAATTAAAAACAAAACTGAAAAACCTAACATTTTATAATAACATTTTATAACACTGAAAAAAAGATAAAACATCATTATCAGACTCATTGTAGGTAATAATGATTTCCTTCACATTGTTCCTTCATTCTTAGATCTATAAAATGTGAATCATAAGCACATTTTCTTTGCCCAAGTGTCAGATAATAACTGTTTATGCTAAGCAAGCAATTGAAAAGGTGATTTATTTCAGGGCTGTTCTTTTCAGATAAGTTCAGTTCTAAAGCTAGCACATGCGACTATCTGTAAATTAAAAACGATTAAAGTGATATATCTCTTTCGATATATCTCTAAATGATGGCACAAAATAATCGCGCGTGTAAATATGAAAAGTATTTTGTTATAAAGTTAACACTTTATTATCTTATACTTTATTGTCAGACAAATAAAATTCATTGTCTTGCAGAGACAAATAAAATGTATCAAAATTTCTCTTTGGATATTGACCGTAATATACTATAAATAATACAAAGTCAATATTTCATTATCATAAATAACGAAAATGATATCACACAATCTATATCCACATTAAATTGAATGCTAAGCAAATCAATGAGAGTTCCGAAAACTTACATTTATCTGTTGATAAGAACATAGTATGACACTGTTGAGTTGCCAGAGAGAGAGAGAGAGAGAAAAAGAGAGAGAGAAATTGATATTATCTTTAACAATTGTTTTTTAACGTAAATATGCTTACATAAAAACGCAAAAGTTTAATTTCTTGCATTGCAGGTATGCAGAAGTGTCTTATACAATTTTTGCAGTTTTCATTGACTACATTTAGAAAATTGTTACAGAATTTGTGAATCTGTTTGGTATGTTCTTCATCTTAGCTGAATTTAAGAACATATACCAATTAGATTTGCAAATTTTTACAACAGTCGGCTTTTTCTGTTGAATGCAGCCATCACTGCAAATAAATATAGAAAAGATTTTTATAGCTGTAATATCAGGAACCAGGTACGTCGAAATTTTACCTGCATTTCATTCGTTTTTAGCCTACGTACATTGTTTGAACTGTCGTTCGCAATTACTCTATTAAATGACAAGGTTAGGTTAGGTTGTTTGTCTAGCCGACGATCTATACATACAGACGTTAACCATCAAGACGGTAGAAAGCAATTATGCTCGAGTTACGAAAACAAATGCGAATGTGATATACACATACATATGCGTGCGCCTTACCTGAAGAGTTGAACGGCCTCAAAATACTCGAAAATCTCCGAAGACCGACGATTTCATCCAAGTTTCGAAGTAGATAGGACAAAAACAGATTAGGTTAGGTCGACTGCTCCACCAACTAGTATCTCGCAGCCAACTTCACGTGACGTATCTTAACCCGCGCATTATGAACGAATGTTAACCTCTTTATGATCCTCTTGAAGGATTCAATCTTAATCTTCTAAGGGATCTTTATCTTTTAATTCTTCCAAAACGCTATAAATACGATATAACAATCAATCTATACAAATTTATCATAAGAAAAGATGTGATTATCAAGATGCAAAGTTAATGATTTTATAGTAATTACCTGTCTTTATTAAGTATTATGTAAAGTCTTTTACATCGCGCTGAAAGTCCAAATAGTATTCATAAGCTCAGTAAACGGGATAAAACGCGTCAAAATAAGCAAAGATAAATGTATCAACAAGCGCACTCACCCACTATAAACACTCTCGAATGTAATGCGACGTCAGAGAACAGATCCTTGGATCTTGTGTTGCTGAAATGAGACAGTTTTAGAATTCACGAGACGGCTTCAAAAATATCTTGTGCGTAGGCGTCGAGATATTTCACGAAATACGAAAAACAAAACGATAAGTCCAAGCGCCCAAGATCGCTTCTGGAAGCTCCAGAATCGCGCTGCGATACACCTATACTTCGCGAGGTGTCGCGCTCTGTGCTGGCAAGATGTCTCGTGCGACACCACAGATGTCTATACTAAACTAGATTGCTAACAAGGGCTTCGAACGTGAGTCACGTAAGGTTTCCGGTTGCATGCGAGAAAATGGCGGCGGTTCTGTGTGTGGATGCTTTCCAGCAGCGTACACTGTGTTACACAAAACCAGTTTATTGGTTGCATATTATCTTACAAGATATTTTAAATAATATGTGATAATATGTGAATAAACTAGTTTTGTGTACGTGTGTGTCAAGATGTGTTAAGCAATTGGAAAGCACCCTGTGTGACGCATCACTTATGTGAATACTTACAATGTATGATGTGAGTCAGCGTGACCATTAAATTACTGTCGTAAAACCAAAAATGCCAACATCTTGTTACATCAAAAAATGTCGTAACAAAAAAATAGATGGTATTAAATAGATGGTATTGGACGTTATTTGTTCTGCCCATTTTCAACAAAAGAATTTTATGACTAAACGTAGCGAAAATATGGCGGTAGCGGCCATTTTCTCGCATACACCGGAAACTCTATCGGACACAACATTACATGCTTTTAGGGCTGCGATCCGAAATTCACTGAATTTCAGTACTGAAATTCTGTAGTATACGTAACATGAACTAAAGATTTTCAGTACTAGCAGTGAATTTCGGAACGCCACTTAGATAGCCTGTAGCAATCTAGTTTAGTATAGACATCTGTGAATCCAAGTTAAAAGTTAGAGATAATATGAAAAGCAGTGACCACTAAATGACAATGACTTAAGCTTATGAACGAAAGTTTAAGATATAAAAAAAATATATATTTTTTCTCATTTATTAGTATTCACTTATCGATCTATTATTAAGAAAAACAAAGCAAAGATGATTCCTAATTCGGAGATTTAGTTTATGTTTAAAAATCAGACAACTTAGCTTTTGGTTCAGACTGTACTAGATAAAGATAGCGCTGTTCTAGACCGACAAACATGCTCTCTCTCTCATCCCGCAACACTCAAGAGGTAGCGCGCGTTCTAGGTAGTATATATTTCAGTGGCGGTACTTTATATATCAAGTGACTTTAGCGCCTAGCTCTGGCCGCTGAAATCAAGTCTGTGGCCGCTCTCCGACTTCTCTCTGCCCGAAGATTTTCGAACGGCGCGAGGTGCACTCAGATGCATCCGGATGAAGTTTCCGAGCACAGACTTATGGCTCCTGCACACAGGATGCGGTAATGCTTGCTGCGCAGCAGAAGTCTGCGCGACAGCCAATCAATATGTTGCTTTTCCGTAAGAGCTAGAAGGTTATTACGGAAAGTAGCATATTGATTGGCTGTCGCGCGAACTTCCGTCGCGCGACAAGCGTCGCCGCGTCCTGTGGGCAGGAGCCATTATCCAAATCCATGTTAGAATTTTAGGATAAAAATTCTCCTCCGAGTCGAAATGCACTCTCCAACAGAGTTTCGAGCTCCATCGTTGTCATTTGGATGTAACCCGAAGATGTATTTAGAAGATTCGAGGTGTATTTAGGTGTATTCTGATGAAGTTTGCGAACAAACTTTATGGAGAATTCACATCGCGTCCGATGTCCGACGTACGATGTCCGATATCCAACAGGAGAACAGCTTTCCAATGGAGAATTGAATTCTCTATTAGAAAGCTGTTCTCTTATTGGATATCGGATGTCGTACGTCGGACCATGAACATAGTATACATAGACTCCGAATACCCTATATTGTATTGTCTAAAGCCAGCGATACGCGATGCTTGTTTTCGTGTTGGATTGCTTGCTGGATAGAAATACTCTGAAATATTCTGATTGGTTAGTCTTCAGAAATGCACCAATCAGAACAGAGCATTTCCATCCAGCAAGCAATCCAGCATGAAAACAAGCATCGTGTGACGCTGGCTTAATATAGTGAAGCCAACATCTAGAAAGAGAGTGAAAATAGAGGGGCTATAGTTTTCTTCCTGTTTTGTCACTTTTTTGTTGCACGTGCATCCATTTCTCGTTTCCATAATATTATAAAGCGCAACAACACCCCGACTAGACTGGCAAGTAAAAGTCTTACTTAAATCTTATTGCACACTTTGTCTGTGAAGAAAGAGACAGAGAACATAGGAGCTGTACGGGTGGGACCCGATTGACCACGATACGATTGGACACAGATTGTAATGATTGGTTCGACCTAGTAATTCACTAGATAATTCTTTTCATCGGTTGGTTGTGTCCAATCGTACCGTGGTCAATCGGGACGCTCCCGAGCTGTACATATTGGCTTCTCTCTTCTGATTATATGCGATGTATATTATGTCTATAGTCTCTTTCTAAGTGTTGGCTTCACTTTTCTGACCGTATGCGGGGTCTATATATACTACGTTCATGCGTCGGACATTGGACGCGGTGTGAATCCTGTATTAGTGTATACTCCACTACGTCCGCAAGTCCGCCGCGCCGGCTTCGTGACAATTCGGGCCGGCGCGGAATGAGCCGAAGCGAACCAGAATGAACTGTGCCGCGGTAGGAGTGGGTGGATGCAGCCGCCTGTCGGCGAATTTGCGCGTCGTTGCGAAAAACGAGTCGAGGTGATCGTGTGACGGCAGTATTCATCCGATCTGAAAAACTCGACGGTGGATACGCATCTCGCCGGATGACAGGGGAAAACGATTGTGAAGAAGAGGGAGAGATAACGAATCGCACGATATAGACCCGTAGATGATCACTAGTTCGAGTCATTCGTTCACCGGTCAACTGTCTACTCCCGCTGATTCATTCCGCGGGATTCACGGATAGCAGCTTATCGTCGTCGTCATCATCATCGTTTTCGCTTTTACGTGACGTCGGCAAGTCCACGTCTCTCCGTAAGTGCGCCATAGATTATTTCATGAATGTTACAACGGTATTTCTTTCCGATCGCCACCTGGCCTCTCAGGCGTGACATAAACGCGCCTAAGATATCTTCGAGTCAATCGATGTGCAAGTAGACAAGTACGCGTTATCGTACGTTGATATCTAGTCCTTGAAAAGTAAGCATCTCGTAGGAATTCGCGAGGGTCACGCGAGCCATTTCGAAAATTGAAATGATCGGCGAGACAAGCGTCATAGTTTCCGGTCGCCGGACTTTCTTATATCGTTGTAGAGTGCGCGCGATAATTACCGTGTCATACGTGGCCATGCGTATGTGACGAACAGGTAAATAAATTGTCAGGCGGAGACAACTCGTTTCCGAAACGATCCGGTCTTCCCAAATTACGCAACGTCCTTTTGAGCCTCTTTCCTAACCGGTTTCTACCTCCATGGCCGATTACATCGCCTACGTATTCTGGATAATTGACAAAGAAATAAAAACAAGTGACGTTGTTAACGTCGTGTCACTTTGTATAATTCATTTTTTTCGGTATTTGTTACACGCATCGCGTTGTTTTTCTCGATGTTTTCTCGATGCCGCCGGGTCATTTTGTGCACGAGCAGTGTCGGTCAATTAATTCTACTTAATTATCGATTCACCGTTGTCCCCACTCATGCCACGGTCTCGTAGATGTAGCGAACAAAGTAAAAGAAAAAAGAGTCGGCTGTTGTCACGTCCGGTCCTTGACGACCGATCTCATCGATACGCTCAATTAGTTTAATTTTCGTCGAATGTTCCCCAATCATTTTGTTCTGTCTCGCGCTGAAAAAAATAATAGCCCGATACGTACGAGCAAATCTGTCGCGAAATCTGGTCTTTTTCGAAGAACTTTAGAATTAGTGCACACTTTACTGCAATAAGTTGGAATGAAAGAAAGTATACTTGTGTTTCAGTAGAATATATCGCACTAGTGCAAGAGTTCTCCGGACAAACCTATTATTACGATAAAAGCGCCGTGAAATTGAAATACATTAATCATGAGTCGGGTTTATTTTCCCGTAGCGCGCTTGCGGGAATCTATTGTATTTTTAAATCGTGACGGATGTGGCGAGTGTAAATAATTCACATTGCTATGAATAGCGCTCGTCGCGCGGATAGCAAATATGTTAAACCTCTCTACAATCTTTACATTCCAGGTGTTAGTGACCGTCATGAGGGTCGTGGTTAACACAGAACTTACATCATTACGCTCATATAGCTGTTTTGCGGTTCAACTTATCGTCATGCTCGTGCCTATATTATCAGAAGCGTGTCATATAGCATATAGTTGTCGACGGACACACACAGGATATTCTCTCTCTTTCTCTTTTTCTCTCTTTCTCTCTCTCTCTCTCTCTCTGTCTTCCATCGACCTGGATGTCGGATAAGACGTTGTGTAAGTCCGGCTCGCGCATTGACTCACTGCTGGATTTCAATCATATTATCTTCGTTCTCGCGTGTAGTAATATACTTCTGCGTGGCAATAACCGTCTATTCTGAACGATTGCGACGGATAATCTTGTACCTGCCGAGCGGGTACTTCGTGACACAAGCACTCTGACATTCAAAGTACAGATGTAAATTATCTCGCGCGACTGAATGCGCGATACGGGAACGCAGTCGGCAAACATACTTTATGTGACTAGTAAATCTAATCTTCTCGTTCAGTTTCCTCGGACATAAAAGGTTGCACTTTGATAGCTACTCAGGAAATGGCACATTAACTTTTTGTGTACATTGTTATATAGAAACGCTAGTAAAGATCGCATTAAGATTCACAGAGAACAAAATTCAAAGTATAAGGAATTTATAATTAATTAGGCTGTCGAGTTCTTCACATTAAGCCTTGTTTACAATATACGGAGTAAGCTTGATACAAAAAAGTTTAAAAAATAAAAATAATTTATTTCGTTTTACTTTAAAAAAATATTTTCGAAGCAATGGAATTAGAGTATAGACGTAAGCGAAATGAATTATTTTTGTTTTTCATTCTAACGCCAAACTTATTTCGCGTATTATAGATAAATTTTTCATGTGCAAAGTAGTTGCAAACGCCGTCGTTGAAGCAACATTTGATTTGCATTTTCCGAATTTATTTCCTCGTTTTACTTTACAATTTTGCGCACCAACATGACAAAAGCGTACATGAGGCATACATTCACTTTATTGTACTGTTCGCAAAGCTGTTTAAACTCGAGCTTGCATTGTTCTCCGCCAGCCTTGACACGTAATTCCACGATTACACCACTAATGATTGTCTGCTGTCACGATAAGTACTTAAGCGTGCACCATTCTGAAATTTACGCCTCGCGCACGTACTGACCGGGAATAACGATGCGATTGCTATGCAATGAAATTCGCGTTTCGTCACTTACACACGTACTTTTATTTATCTCCAACGTGCTGGTTAAGTCATCGTCGTAACGACACGATCGTACGTAACAGGAGCACACGATATATCAGGATGTTCCTCGCGAAATCACGTCTTTAACGAACATTCAACAAAATTCTGTCGAAACGTTAAATTCTCTGCTCTCATTTTTTCTCTTGTAAACTCTTATAGCTCGCGTTTAGTTTTAAGGAGACTATTGCTGCAATTCTAAGCAAATATACGAGTAAATCGTAAAATCGTAGTCGTAGCTTACAAAAAAAAACAAAAAAAATCGTAGATGTTTATCATATGACATACGATCCGCATAGAATTGCAGATCTATTCATAAGTTCTCACGAGCCTTACGAGAAAAAATTAATAGTTTTACGATTTTGTCTAGAATTGCAGTATATGTTTTCTAAGCTCAACATTTTTTCCTCTCTTTTCTTCTATTATCGCATTTGCAACCATCCCTTATAGCATAAGATCTTGAAGGGATATCTTGGGGACTTGTGTGGACATTTAGAAGTTCTCGGAAGAATATTTTATATAGAATATTTTTAGGATATTCTGAGGACTTATGCAGACATTTAGCAATCCTCTGGATGTCTTTGGAACATCTTTTAAATTTTGTGCTATATGGGACATGCGAAGAAGCAAAAAATTGCTCTTTATTTTAGTATTTAATTACGATTCTTTGTCGCTCCCTGCTTCATTTATCTCTCAATATGGTATTGTAATGATAAATTTTTTGCTATGTAACGTACGAACATAACGTGTTCGATAATGTGTTTGCTAAATGACATAATCATATGAATGCGATGCTGTGCCATTTGCTTACATCAAAAAGCCATAATGCGATAATGCAATCTATATTATACCACAATAAGTTATGAAATATGTTTGCACATACGGAGATAATCTCATGATGAAGTAGATAATCTCCATGAAATAATACTACTATCATTCTTCACGCATGCAGACGAACAGTTATTCGTCGTGGCGTCGTCCATCATGGCGAAGAAATTCCAATAACATGTAATTATCGCTGAATTACTTGCAAGATCGAAACTTTTTATAGGTCAAATGTGACATAGATATGCACAGTGAAATATGCATAGTTATATGCATTTCACAGTGAAATAGTAAAAACACTGTTTATACAATATTTATCAGATGCAAATTGCCATACTTTGAATAGTAAATATATCTTAAGTTATGCTTGTGATTATTGCGATAGATAGATTATTGTCTCATTAAAATAAGTAAAGGTACACAACGACACTTGTATTTTAATATCCAAGTAACTAAATTTAACAGGAAAACAATGTTTGTTGTCATATTGCGCTTTAATTTAGGTTAGATCGAATATTCATTAACCGCGACATTTGTCAACAATACTTTATTAAAACTCAAAATAAATATTCTTATTAGATACATTTGAATAAAATACAATTGCAAGAAGTAAATACATAAAAGAAGATTGATCATTTTTTTTTAATAGGTGTATGTTGACGAAGAAGGAAACGCTGAACAACATGAGGACCAGACAGATTTTGAGCGTGTTTCATCGCTTGTTCGAGCTGATTGCGAGAGGAATATTTTTGTTTGTTGCTTATGTGAGAGGACCGGCGAAAGTTCAGCCGCCGATCAAAGATTTGACTCTTCTGCACAGTGCATCTACTTTGGCGTTAAAAATTCGAACCAAACAAGTGAGTCTCTTTGCTAGTTCTCTGGCATGTTTGGCAAATTTCGATTTACCCACGGCTCAATACGATAAGTTTCAAACTGTCTACTCATCGATATTGTGATTTTTTCACGGTAAATCTGATAATCCAACGTGATCTTATTGTGTTTTGTACGATGACTCAGGTTGCTTAATATAATAGCATTGTTTGACGCTTATCCGAAAGATAACAAATCAAATTCTGTGAAAATCATATTTACTGATTCTCTTCTTTAGTATGCTTTCGAAAGATAAGAAGATTAGATCTACTGTTGTATAAAGTAAATCTTTATAATAATAGAAATGTTTTCATATAAAACTACATAAGGCATACATATATATATATATATATATATATATATATATATATATATATATAT